CGCCCGCCACAACATCCGGCTATTTTTTGGTTGCAGCCATTATTGTTGTTTGGCGGCTTGGGCTGGATTCAAACCCTCCACCTTAGGTGTATGTAGCTGGTGCCTTAGCCGCTTGAGCCACAGGCACCAAGCCGGTTTGCCCATTTCTTAGAGACTCATGCTCTCCCATTCAGAACCTGTGCCCTCATGAGGGCACTTTTCTTCCCAGCCCCTCCCAGGTTTGCCTAGTCAGATGCTATGTGAGGATGAGGGGAGGCTGAGGCCTGGGGGACCTAGGACCTCCCATCTGTGGCCCTGTCCTTTTACTCCCTTTCAGTTTCCTTTATCCACCCCTCCACCCCCCGCCAAATCCCCCAGGCCGTCCCTGCCTCCTTACACCCACCCGAAGCACCTAGGACTCTTGGGCCTAGGTCTCCCCCTGAGGGTGATGGCCTGTTCTAGGAGCCAAGGAGACCTCAGAGCTGGGCTGGGCTCCAGCAAGAAAAGTGCCACCCATGGCCAGCTCATACACCCCAGCTTTGGTTCCTCCAACCCTGTGATTCCAGAATGCTCCCGTACCTGACATCAGCTTCATGTTACGCTGATGTCCCTCCAGGAGACAGGCCTTGCTCAGGGAGATTGGGTGTGGGGGTACCTGTCCTGCTCTTTGAGGGGAAGCAGTGGGGCCCTGGTGGAGGGGAAAGTACCCTATGCACCTCTCCTCCCACAAAGGCTGACTGCTGGGTCCTTTAAGGCCACCAATTACTGTCTGCCTGCTGCCCTGCCTGGTAGTAATACACCCTCCCCCTGGGACCATGGCCACCAGTAAACAGAGCCTTCCTTGTGGATGTGTCCAGCAGCTGCAGCCTGGAGAAGGAGGGCAGGCACCCAGCATGCCACAGCCCCACCTGCCTCAGGTCTCTGCTCTCTGGGCTGCATCCTGCCTGGCCCAGAAGGTGACTCTCCCTCCCCATACTGTCCTGTCTCTTCACACTGGAGCAGGGTGACTCTCCCTCCCCATACTGTCCTGCCTCTTCACACTGGAGCAGGTTGGGGATCTGCAGGCTGTCCTCCCATCAGCTTTGTGCAGCAGCCGCAACAGCTGCTGTCCTTGTGGGTCTTGTGGCCTAAGCACTGCAAGGAGTCTTCTTTTTTTTTTTTTGAGACAGAGCCTCAAGCTGTCCCCCTGGGTAGAGTGCTATGACATCACAGCTCACAGCAACCTCCAACTCCTGGGCTCAAGCGAGTCTCCTGCCTCCGCCTCCCAAGTAGCTGGGACCACAGGCGCCTGCCACAACGCCCGGCTATTTTTTTTTTTTTTTGGTTGCAGCCGTCGTTGTTTGGCGGGTCCGGGCTGAGGATTCGAACCCGCCACCGTGGCTGGCACCTTAGCTGGTTGAGCTATAGGCGCCGAGCCTGCAAGGAGTCTTCTGCTGACTGTACTAGCCAGTGTCCTCCGCACCAGGGCACTGTGAGGGGCAAGACAGATGTCTGGTGCCATGGTGAGCTCTGGGTCTCAGGCCCAGGCAGACAACACAACCTGGATTTTTTTACTTATAAATGGGGGGGCCATAATCACCTCCCAGTCCTGTAGGTCCTGATCACAGGAAGTAAAAGCCTATTCCAGTGGAGGACTCTCAGGCCACACAGCCTGGGGATAGGGTGGAGAGGATTTGACAAGGTTTGGAAATGCCAAGGACCCAAACACCTCCAAGAGAAACCTGGTCAGGGATTTGCACAGCTAGTTGGGGATGGGAAGAGTCTTGAGTTTCTCCTTCACCTGCTATGAGGTTTAAATGGCTTCCTTGTCTACTGCTTGGGCTTTTTAGGGTGCTGAGCCAATTCAGGGTGCTATGGAAACTGAGGGCCCTAGGATGCCTGGCAGTGACCCTGTACATCCTACATACCAATAAAAGACTCCAGTCCTTTTGAGGGGCTAGATCTGTTTGAGAGTGGTCAACAGAAGCTAGGTTTGTCTTGTCTGGGAGTAGCAACTCATGCCTATAATCCCAGCACATTGGGAGGCTGAGGTAGGAGGACTGCTTGAGGCCAAAAGTTCAAGACCAGCCTGGGCAATTTAGCAAGAACCTGCCTCTCCCACAAATAAGAAAGATTAGCCAGGCCTGGTAGTACACACCTGTAATTACAACTACTCAAGAAGCTGAGGCAGGAGGATTGCATAAGACCGAAAGTTACAGGCTGCAGTGAGCTGTGATGATGCCACTGGATTCTAGCCCAGGTTACAGAGTGAGACCCTGTCTCTAATAAAAAAAAAAAAAAAGCCAGGTTTGTTTTACTGGACCTGTCTGTGGGGGAGGTCACTCTCCCAGTCAGTGTGGCAAACACCGGCAGCAGACCCCAAGGACCAAACACAGCTACTGACCACACTCCCACTATGAAAATGCTCACCTCTACACGTGCTCAGGATGCACCTGGTCCTAGCACATTTTCCAAAGACAAACAGTTTTGGCCAGTATATAGCATAATACCATGGTATCACGCATTATGTGGTGAAGTGAGGGTACATTCCCTTTCACCACGAAACATAAATAAGCAGGCACTGCCCCCAATACCCTTTCGTCAGGAGTGGGTAAGAAGCTCCCAGAAATCCAGAATCTAGAGAGGCCTAGTGGCCACAGCAAAGGAGACTGTTCAGGGCCTAATGATATTTAGTCTTTTAAAAATGTTCTTCAATACGCCCGTAATCCTAGCACTCTGGGAGGCCGAGGCAGGTGGATTGCTTGAGCTCATGAGTTCAAGACCAGCCTAAGCAAAAGCAAGACTGTGACTCTATTAAAAATAGAAAAATTGAGGCAAGAGGATTGCTCGAGCCCGAGTTTTGAGGTTGCTGTGAGCTATGATGCCTTGGCACCCAGGGCAACAGCTTGGGATTCTGTCTTTTAAAAAAAAGTTATCAATACACTTTGGAAGTGTAAGACTGGAGGGTTGCTTGAAGCCAGGAGTTTGAGACCAGGCTAGGCAACATAGTGCGGCCTCATCTCTACAAAATTTAGCCAGTGATGCACACCAGTAGTCCCAGCTACTCTGGAGGCTGAGCAGGAGTATTGCTTGAGTTTAGGAACTGGAGGCTGCACTAAGCTATTTGCCTTACTGCACTGCAGCCTGGGCAAGAGTGAGACCTATTAGACGGGAACTTGTAGCTCAGGATGAAAAAATTTTCTGCTGGGTGCAGTGGCTCACACCTGTAACCCCAGCACTCTGGGAGGCTAAGGCAGGTGGATTGCCCTGAGCTCAGGAGCTCAAGACCAGCCTGAGCAGGAGTGAGACCCCCATCTCTAAAAATAGCCAGGCATTGTGGTAGGCACCTGTAGTCTCAGCTACTCAGGAGGCTGAGGCAAGAGAATCGCTTGAGCCCAAGAATTTGAAGTTGCTGTGAGCTATGAGTCCACATACCAAGGGTGACAAGGTGTGACTGTCTCAAAAACAAAAACAAATAATTCTCAACACAAAAATTAGAAGTTTGAAAAAAAAAGTTTATTTTATTACCCAAGGTTGGGGAGTTTGAGGCACCAGAGGAAGAAAGACATCCTGGCCTAGAGAGTAAGGTGTTCAGGATTTTTATTGAGGGTAAAGGAGAAAAAAAAAGTTATTGCTGCCAGGTGACAGCAAGAAGGCAGAAGTGACTGCATCTGTTTTTTTCTCTGTGAGGCTGGCTTATCGGAGACCTTCCAATATGGTTTGGGAAGAGTGGGTGGTGGGGAAGGGTTACGTTCCTTCTAGCTTCTCAGTAATTTTCAAGTGCTGTGAAGATAAACGCTCAAAACAATTTAAGCCACAGGTGGTTAATCTTAAAATAAAAACAAAAACGAGTTAAGCCCCACGTGGTAAATCAGACAAAGGGGTAGTTGCTTACTGTGATCTGTTTTCAAAGGGGCAATTATGTGTTGTTAATTTCTTTTTCCTAGCTAGAGGATTTACTAGCAATGCCATCCTTTTAATCTCCCCCTCTAAAATAAATAAGAATGCTACCAAAACATAATGCTAATAAAGCGACTGATTAAAGGTGCGACCACGTATAATTTATCTTTTCTCTTTATGAATTTTTTTCTTCTCAAATATAAATTAAGTCATAAATTAGTGGAAATAAAAGTACTTGTTGGCCCACCCACCGAAGGAGGTCTTGACGCCGGCCCGGTCTCCACGCAGTTCTGCACACTCGGGGGCGGGAGCGGCACCAAGGCGACCGGCACTCGGCCAGGGCCGTCTCCACAACACGCCGAAGCGGATCCCAGAGGCGGGCCTCGCCCCTTCTCTCCACTGCCCGGCACCCGACCCGCCTGGGGCGCGGCGGGACCCACAGGCTCCCCTCGCGGTCCCCGAGAGAACGCTGAGATTAGGGACTTAGGGTCAGAGGCAGAAACCCGCACAGCCTCAGCCCCGCCACGGTCTGCTGCTCTTGGGGCGGCGTCCCCTGTGCCGCCGCCCTCTCGGCACCTGAGTCCCAGTTCCTCTCTTAGAGACGCCCAAGCTCGCTCAGCGGCAGGGCCAACCCGCCACCTCCGCAACCCCGCAGGGTGCGGGCGGGCCTCCACCTCGGGCTGATCCACTGCCCCGCACCCCGGAGCGCTAACTGGATGCTCGGTCCGCGTCGCTCTGCGGCAGTGGGCCAGGGGAAGGCGCACGGTGGGCCCCCAGGGCCGCCCGCTTCCGTTCTCGAACCGTCCTCCAGGCTCGGGGCCAAGACCACGCCCGCCAGCCAGCGGCCGGCCAGTCCTCTCTGGCCGGAAGCCCGACTCCGCCCGCGCGCGCTGCTCCTGCTGCACTGCGGCGGTTACTAGGACGCTGACCCTGCGCAGCCAATAGCGCCAACTTGTCGGCGAGCTCCCGGAAGCCAGCCAATGAGAGAGCAAATCAATCATTTGAAACATCCAATGGACAGAGCGTCGCCTCACGAGGGGGGGAATTATGATAGGGAGATCGGAGGCTGAGGCTGACCAATAAAAAGCAAAAGGCGTTAGGAAGGCGGGTCATAGGCGGCTTGATTGACGAAGAAAAAGCCAATCAAACGAGGCTTCTTTGCAGCCTCGTTCTGATATCCCAATCCGAGGCCTGTAGAGGCGGGCACGGCAGGTATATAAGCATTGCCCGAGCGTCGGTTGTAGCATTCTGCGCGCCTGCTCCTCTGCTCTTCCGTCTTCCTGCAGCCTACTTCCCTGCCGCCGCCGCCGCCGCCGCCATGAGGGAGATCGTGCACCTGCAGGCCGGGCAGTGCGGCAACCAGATCGGCGCCAAGGTGGGCGACCGGCGTGCCGAGGCCCCGATGTGGGCTTGCCAGGCAGGGGGAGCTGCCCGGAAAGATGGCGGCAGCCCCTGGCCGGGCGGGAGGCGCCCCCGCATTGCGGGCCCCGAGCGCACGGCGTGGGGCTAGGACCAGGGCCAACACTGACACGGCCACGGTCCCCTGGGTCCTGGGGGGTTCGGGGTGCGCGGGCGGAGAAGGGAAGCGGGTCCGGTCGCCGCGCCCGTCCGGGGCGGGGCCGCCCCGGCGCACCGGCGCACCGGCGGCGGTGACTCAGCCTCTGCCCGCCCGGGCCCGCCCGTGTGCCTTACAGTTCTGGGAGGTGATCAGCGATGAGCATGGCATCGACCCTACCGGCACTTACCATGGGGACAGCGACCTGCAGCTGGAGCGCATCAACGTGTACTACAACGAGGCCACCGGTGAGACCCTGGCCCCTTCCTGATCGCTCTCTTGTTACCTTTTCTCTTTTTCTAGCTAATTCTCCCCCTGTCCCCCACCCCAGGTGGCAAGTACGTGCCCCGTGCCGTGCTCGTGGATCTAGAGCCCGGCACTATGGACTCAGTGCGCTCGGGCCCTTTCGGGCAGATCTTCAGGCCGGACAACTTCGTCTTCGGTAAGCCGCGGTTGGGGGTTGGGCAGCAGCATGTTTACTAGGGCAGCTCAAAGGTCAAGGGGCTGTCTCAAGGTCACTACCGTGAGAACCGCAGAGCCGGGGCTTCCCTGGACACCCTCCTTTCCAAGTCACTCAATCCCCTTCTAAAGCGGCTTTGGGAGGAAGGCCCAGCTGTCTGTCCACTGCAAGGAGCAGCAGATGTAATCTTCCTGCAAAGAACCCTGAACTGAGGCAGTGATTACTACTGCTGCTGCTTGATGTTTGAGAATTGGCAGGGGCTAGCTGGGAAGGGGCATGTTAAATTGTCTCAAGTTTGACCTGCTATGATTTTGGGAGGTTAGTACCCAGTGTGCATTATCTCATTTCACATATCACTTGATGGTGATGGGTGGTGACGCCATACCTGGCTGCTAAGTGACCAGCTGTCCTCTCTCATAGGTCAGAGTGGTGCTGGAAACAACTGGGCCAAGGGGCACTACACAGAAGGCGCAGAGCTGGTGGACTCCGTGCTGGATGTTGTGAGGAAAGAGGCTGAGAGCTGTGACTGCCTGCAGGGCTTCCAGTTGACCCATTCCCTGGGTGGGGGGACTGGGTCTGGGATGGGCACCCTTCTCATCAGTAAGATCCGGGAGGAGTACCCAGACAGAATCATGAACACATTCAGTGTGGTGCCCTCACCCAAGGTGTCGGACACGGTGGTTGAACCCTACAACGCCACCCTCTCAGTCCATCAGCTTGTAGAAAACACAGACGAGACCTATTGCATTGATAACGAAGCTCTCTATGACATCTGCTTCAGAACCCTAAAGTTGACTACGCCCACATACGGTGACCTGAACCACCTGGTGTCTGCCACCATGAGTGGGGTCACCACTTGCCTGCGCTTCCCAGGCCAGCTCAATGCTGACCTGCGGAAGCTGGCCGTTAACATGGTCCCTTTTCCCCGCCTGCATTTCTTCATGCCTGGCTTTGCCCCACTGACCAGCCGGGGCAGCCAGCAATACCGGGCCCTGACAGTACCTGAGCTCACTCAACAGATGTTTGACGCCAAGAACATGATGGCTGCTTGCGACCCCCGCCATGGCCGCTACCTAACAGTGGCTGCTGTGTTCAGGGGCCGCATGTCCATGAAAGAGGTGGATGAGCAAATGCTTAATGTCCAAAACAAGAACAGCAGCTACTTTGTTGAGTGGATCCCCAACAATGTGAAAACAGCTGTCTGTGACATCCCACCCCGGGGGTTAAAAATGTCTGCCACCTTCATTGGCAACAGCACAGCCATCCAGGAGCTGTTCAAGCGCATCTCTGAGCAATTCACAGCTATGTTCCGGCGCAAGGCCTTCCTGCATTGGTACACGGGCGAGGGCATGGACGAGATGGAGTTCACTGAGGCTGAGAGCAACATGAACGACCTGGTGTCTGAGTACCAGCAGTACCAGGATGCCACAGCTGAGGAGGAGGGCGAGTTTGAGGAGGAAGCTGAGGAGGAAGTGGCATAGAGCCAGCCCCTGCTACCGGGTAAACCGTGGAATTGGTGTGAACTCTTTATTCACTCACAACCTATTCCCTGATAGCCGCGTCTCACTGTGTGTGCCCTTGCTGTTCTTTCTGTCTCAACATCATATGCTGTACAGACATCACCATTAAAGCATTTTCATAGTGTGTCATTTCGCCTCTCCAGTTCCTTCTGATAGGCCTTGCGAGTGCTATTGCCAAACGTCAGTGCGTAGTTGTCTTGCATGGCTGAAGAGAACAGGCTGTAGCTGAGCTGTGCTTAACCTATCACAGACCTGGGACAAGCCTGTGAATGGTCCCTGCAGGCTTCCATGGGCCTTGAGCCTCTGCTTGTTGGGGAACCTGCTTCCTGAAGGCCAAGAGGCCTGTGTTTGGGATCATGAACCCCTTCCAAATGGGAGGAGGGAATGGTGGGCAGTCCTGCACCTGTACTGGCCATCTCTCCCCATGGTGGGCAGGTATGTCAGCATGATCTTGACAAAACAAGTGGGATGTGGGGCATCTGGCAGGATTGGTGGGTGGTAGGTGTCAGGCCTACTGTTTACTCACATGGTACAAACCCTGTGTAGAAAGGAATCAGACCCTGGCTGCTGTAGATGCTGTTGCTAGGCCAGTGTGTCTTAGGCAGCCTCTCGCCCAGGGCACAGATGGGATTTCTGAATAGGAACTGGGGAAACAGGCAGGTGCTGACAAGCACTGCCTCCCCCGGCTGGCAACAAGTGAGCAAAATACCCAAGTTGGGGCCTGACCTGCCTGCCTCAGCTAGAGTTGGTGGGCTGGCACTTTCACTGGGAAGTGGCTGGTGCTCCTGGATCTCCTCTGCCCTAGCGCCCACTCCAAGACAGTTGAGAGCAGAAAGCTAAGGCCTTTAGGGGATGTACCCTTGAGCTAGGCATGGCCCCCCTTCCCCAGGCCTCTGAGGAAGCTTGGCCCCCTCCAGGGAATCTTCCATGTGGGTGGAGACACTATGCTGGGAGCCAGGCTCTTGGGAGCAGGCCCTGGGGCTTCCTACCTGCTTCTTGTCAAATTCATCCATAGCTTGTGTGACCCCATCACGGTAATTCACCCCCATCACCCAAGTGAACTGGGGGACGAAGCCAGCATAGCCTGGGAGTGGGCAGATGTCAGCGTCCTAGCCAAGTCCCCTTGGCCTTCCCTGGGGATGCCTACCTCCCAGACCTGTGAGGGAAGCCGGTTCAGGCTTCTTTCCTAAATGTTGGCTATTACCTCTCGGGGCCAAATACAGGGGCAGGCAGCAGGAGTCTTGGGAAACGCTGAACTCTGGGAAGCAGCTGGGAGGCTCAAGGGAGAGAGCAAGGGGCTCACTGGCTCTCATTCTGTAGGAACTCTGGGTAGGGGCGTCCCTGTCCAAACCAGCCCAGGCCCCAGGCACCCACCTGAGATGGCTTTCCTTTGGATCAGGTTGGGGTGGTCCAGCTGCGGCAGCCGCTGGAACCTGCCTACATCTAGTGTCTGCTGCTGGTGGGCCGGGGGTAGGTACTCATTCCTCCTGCAGTGGTACAGCTGGATTTGGGAGGGGCAAGTCACTGCAGCACCTACCAGGGTCTGGGTGGGGTGGGGCTTGGTGCCAAGGTGGCTCCCAGTTACCTGGTATCGCCGTGGGGCCTCATGGACAGGGACAGTGCTCTTCCAGGCCTCTTCTCCATATGCCAGCCGCAGGCCTGGGTGTCCCAGGTCCCTGGAGTCCATCTTCCTTCCTGGTGGGCATGGTGGGTAGGGCGGGTAGGGCATGAAGCCTGCAGGCAGCACAACTTGTCTGGATATATTTTCTACTGGTGGCTCCTGGATGTCCACTTCCTGGGATGGGAGCTGGCCCAGGATTGCAAAGTTCTTGTGGGGCTTCAGACCTATACAGACAGGCAACTGGTGAATAAGGGAACAGAAGGGTGGGTGCCGGAGGGTGCAGGGCCTGGGGGTGGCAGCTCACTGGTGTAGTGCGGGATATAAGGTTCATTTAGGTCCCGGCAGGGAATCCAGGGAGGCTTGGACTTGCTGAAGTCCTCGATGAACTTGGGCTTCAACATGGGGGACAGCACAGAGCAGGGGCTCTTGCGCACACTGGGGTCCGTGAGCAGCTGTGCCGTGGTGCGCCCATAGGTGTTCCCCACCTGGTAGCGCAGCTGGGGGTAGAAGCCAGCATAGCTGTGTAGGGAAGAGGAAGAGACAAGGCAGGTTGTTGGGGCAGCCTGGTAGCCAGGTGAGATCCAGCCCACCTGTCACTTACCAGCAGCTTGGCCTGTGGTAAGTCATCTGACCTTTGCTTACCTGTGAAGGGGGCTTGCAGTAGTACCTTCTGTGGCTCTTGGGGCTTGAAAGGGCAAACATTCCTGGTCCAAAAGGTGAGCTTCATTGTCAGTACCATGATCGGATTGCCATTTACCCTGCACTTGCCACTCTCCAAGACCCTTTCTCACATCTCATTCCAATAGCAAGGAAGTAGGACACTGTGCTATGGGAGCAAGTGCCAGGACCAGAAGTATGGAGGGGACATGTGCCCACGTGGGGGGAAGCCCCTCAGACTCCAACTGATCCCACCATGAAGGTGTAGGGTAAAGTATAACTGGACCTTTACCACCCCAGAAGGCCAGGATTTGGGAGGCAGGTGAGAGGGCTGAACTTTAAAGGAGAACAGTTATTTAAATTAATCATGTGGAGACATGGTACAGGTGTCATATTGGGGGCCCTACAGACCATAGTTTTCAGTGGTTAGTGGTCTGTGTGATCACACAAAGAATATGAATTGTCTTTTACAAAATTCCCAAAGCTGGCTCGGCGCCTGTGGCTCAAGTGGCTAAGGTGCCAGCCACATACACCTAAGGTGGCAGGTTCGAATCCAGCCCAGGCCCGCCAAACAACGATGGCTGCAACCAAAAAAAACCAGCCAGGTGTTGTAGCCAGTGCCTGTCATCCAGCTACTTGGGAGGCTGAGGCAGGAGACTCGCTTGAGCCCAGGAGTTGGAGGTTGCTGTGAGCTGTGATGCCATAACACTCTACCCAGAGCTTGAGGCTCTGTCTCAAAAAAAAAAAAATTCCCAAAGCTAATGCAGACTCCTAAGTTTAAAAGGTGAGCACCGGCTTTCCCCAGAAGTAAGCATCGTACAAAGGCCCAGCCTTTCCTTATTTTTGCATGTATCTGTGTGCAGATACTTAGGTGTGCTCGTGCGCACACACGTTCACACAGGTTTTGTATAGGGGTTATTTTTAGGGTTCTTTTTTTTTTTTTTGCAGTTTTTGGCCGGGGCTGGGTTTGAACCCACCACCTTCAGTATATGGGGCTGGCACCCTACTCCTTTGAGCCACAGGTGCCGCCCTATCTTTAGTTTTTTTAAGGGAATACCTTGTGAGGCAGCCTGGCACATGTTTATCTTTAAGATGTAGAGTCCTCTATGGAGTAAGTGTCCAGCATTTACTCAGCCGGCCTCTGCCAGCTGTTTCACTGTCCTAGTTTCTACTTCTGACAGACATGCTGGCCACCTGGCATGGCATTCCTCGGCCATGCACCAGCAGGGAGGGATGAGGCCCGGGCCCTTGGCAGCTCCTACCCTAGAGCCTACTGTGTCCCAGGTCCTCCAGGTCACAGGGCCTCAGTCCTCAGTTTCCTGGTGTTCCTGGTCAGCAGTACCCCCACTGCTTTGGAGCCCCTTGCGTTGTCTCCTGGGCCTCTGGGCCCTCTGCCCCAATCCTGACTCCAGCCACCCTGCAGAGCCAGCTCTTACCCAGGGATGTAGTGAGGTTCTGGCGTGAAGAGGTTGTGTTTATCAGTAGCTGTCATTTTGCCTCCAGTTAGCCCCTGCTAGCTCCAGTGCCTTATCCTGGTCTGGCTCCTTCCCTGTGGGGAGTCCTGTTGCCTGGCAACCATTGTGAAGGAGCCTGCACTGGGCCAGGTGCCTTCCGGTGAGTGTTCCCATTTTGCAGCCAGGAGTCTAAAGCCCAGACAGGTGCCAGGCTCGGCAGGCTGGCCTGGAAGGACATTCTAGGGGACCATTTCTCTAGGAGGGGTCCGGGTTCTTGATACTCTCAGGAGGTCAGTAGCCAGAAGAGAAGCAGGCCCTGCCCCAGGGCAGAGGCTTGAGTCTGGAGATTCCCAGCTTGGAGAGCTCTGAGCATTCTCTCCAGAAGGCTCTTTCACCTGGAGCAGGACATTATTTTACATTTTAAATAAATCTTGAATTCTTTTTTTTTTTTTTTGGTATAGGAAGGACTTTCTAACCATAAAGGTAAAGAAAGATATAATGAAAGAAAAAAATTAGTAAGGAGGTACTAATTAGGAGAAGATATAATGAAAGAAAAAAATTAGTAAGGAGGTCAAATTTGACACATGGTCAAATACTAAAACACAAACTAAAAACTGGGGTGGGGGTGGGGAGTCTGCAACAAGTGTTAGGAAAAGAATATGTCAGCATAAAAAGTTCTTTAAAACAAAAATATGAGGCTCAGCACCTGTAGCACAGTGGTTACGGTACCAGCCACATACACCAAAAGTTGTTGGGTTCGAACCCAGCCTCGGCCAGCTAAGACAATGACAACTGCAACAACAACAACAGCAAAATAGCCAGGTGTTGTGGCGGGTGCCTGTAGTCCCAGCTACTTGGGAGGCTGAGGCAAGAGAATCGCTTAAGCCCAAGAGTTGCAGATTGCTGTGAGCTGTGATGCCATGGCACTCTACTGAGGGTGACAAAGTAAGATACTGTCTCAATAAATAAATAAATAAATAAATAAATAAAAAGACCAGAGGCAATAAATGTAAGGACATGAGATTGAACTTCAAACAAATAAACGCTGATTGCAGTTTCTAAGGCTCATTACTGGTAGGGTCATGGAATGGCCTCTAATTTGGGAGGCTTCTCTGCAAAGCAATTTGGTAACAGATCAAGTCCATACAAGCCACTGCATACATTAGCCCATGGCTTCCACTCTTAGGAACCATCTTAAGGAAATGATCTGATACTTAGCTGATGATACATATGCAACATCCTTCATCATGGCAGTGTTTATTAAAGAGAGGAACTGAAGTTAGCCTCAATGTCCAAGGACAAAGGCTTCATTAGCAAAGTGAAACACAGTTACATTTGCAGCCACTGCCACTGTCCTCACATGCTGCATAGCATGGGAGGGGCCCTGGAGTTTGTGAACCCCTCTCCCAGATAAAATGTGTTTCCTCAAGCATGTGTCCATTCAGGGCCAGCAGGGTCAGTGCTAGGTGGGAGGGCTGCAGAAGAATAGCCTTGGTCAGGACTGAGGAAGGCTCTCGGGATAAGACTTTCTTGACTGGGCCCTGCCTTGGATTTGCAGCCCAGGTCAACTCCAGGGGCCACACACAAGGGTCAAGGTGTGTGACTGGTCCAAGGCTCTTGCTCACTCACACTCATTACTCCTTTGCAGCTGGACTGGGCAGCTCAGTCCATCTGTGCCCCCTATGGCCTCTGTGACCATAGGCAGAAGACTGGCTCTCCCCACCCAGCCCTGTCTCTGCCATCCTCTTGGCCCTCGCAGACCCATCTGATGACGACTCTTCACTTTTTCCACAAGGGGGTTTCTGGGTGGGGCAGCTGGTGGTCCTATTCCTCTTGGGAGCCTTCCTGGGTTCCTCACCCCATCCTATCCTCAAAGTCCTGGCTGGCTCCATACAGCTGGGCATCTGGTGGGACCTGGCAAATATAAGTTCTGCTCCACTCTCTGCCAGGGCCTCAGTCCTTCCAGAAGCCACTGATAGTGGACCCCAGCCTCCTAGGAGACCCCAGAGGGCAGGAGAGGGGAAGGGTTAGTAAATTGTAAATGGCACCATAACCAAAAATTAATGGTTCTTAAGTGTCTTAGCTCCCTCATATTCCAAAGGAGTTTTCAGTGTTCATATTGATACTGAAGCAGGAAGCCAAGTGGCCTTGCCTGGACAGGTCTGTAACCGTGAGTGTTATCTCAGCACCAGTAGCCTAGCAGCTACAGTCTTAGAGAAAGCAAAGACAAGACAAGAGAGGTCTCAGTAAGAGCTGCTGAGCAGAAGAACTTTGTAACTTTCTGTTGTGCTGATGCAGTTCCTTTTGAGTTTTTTCCTAGGAACAGCAGAACCTCCTTCCACCCAGAGATAACTATAGCGCTTTACACCACCTGTTTGTCCGGAGAAAGATAAGTGATATGCCACTGCAGATCATGCCCAAGGACCACTGAATCTACCAACAATACTGAAAGAGTGGACAATATTAACCCCTAGCTCATTATGATACTAAAATTCTCATCCAGGAAGAGACTTACCCACCATTTTTTTGTACATGGGATATGTACTAGCATGACTCCTCCCTGTGTTTTCTTTCTTTCTTTCTTTCTTTCTTTTCTTTTTTTTTTTTTTTGCAGTTTTTGGCCAGGGCTGGGTTTGAACCCAACACTTCCAGCATATGGGGCTGGCGCCCTACTCCTTTGAGCCACAGGAGCCACCCTCTTCCCTGTGTTTTCGTGCCCTGTGTTCCACCCAACACATGTCATGGTGTTCACTCCCCTTATGTATTATTCATTTCCTCCATAAAAACTCCTGACACTGTTGAACGGGGAGGTAGATTTGAGGTAACCTGTGCCTCCCCCAAGTAGGCGAGTCTTCTGAAAAAAATCTCTTCTTCCTTGACAGTTCTTCTGACTCAGTAATTGGCTCTGTGCAGCACTGAACCCTCCTGTGGGTTAGTAACACTGGGACAGGAAGCAGGGAGAGGGAGTAGAGGGGACTTTGGCCAGGAGTTAAAGGTACCCACCGGGCAGGTAGAAGAGGGGCTCCTGGAGCTGAGGTCTGCTCAGGCAGGCCCCCCAGAGCTGAACAATGCTTCTTTCCCAGGGAGCCCTGGCAACAGTGAGGTCACAGAACCCCTAAGTGCTCTTGGGGAAGGGAGCTGGGAGCCTCTGATGATGAATTTTGACCAGAAGGCTGTGAAATTCCTAGCAAATTTTTACATCAATGGAGGCAAACACTGGACTCATGGCCCCCTAAGGCAGAAGGCACTAGAGCCCATCCAGTAACTTCAGAGGGCAATGGGCAGGCTAGGGGGACAGCCTGGAAAGGGCAGGCAGTGGGCTGGGTAGACAGTGGCTCTCATCTCCCTGTAGGCCCAATGTTGCTGCATTGCTGTCTGACCCAGAGCTTGGCACAGCCTGGGATGAGATGTGCTCCCCAAAGAGGAAAGAGGTCCCAGCCACCCTCCGGGTATGCAAGGATACCCCCCAGCAGTCCTCACCTGCGTACACCCAGACCCTGAGGGCGCTAAGTGAGTGAGGGTACTGGCTACCCTACCCCCTACCCGGAGCTAGTCTTTGCAGCAGGGACAGGGGCCTGCTGGGAGGAACCTGAGCCCAGTGCTTGCTTCCTGTGGCCAGTGCTCGAGCGACGGCCCCCCATCCTGACCGACCTGGACATCCCTGGCCCCACCAAATACCAGGTGCCTAGTGCATCGATGCGAGAATCCTCCCCTCACCCCCAGTACAGCATAGGCCACAAGCTCGAAGGCCGAGGTGCGTGTTCCCTCCCAGTCCCCACCCAACCTGGTCTGACCCACCCTGGGAATGGGGCCTCTGCCTCTGCCCTGAGCCCCCTCTCGCCTTCCCCCACCCCGCCTTCCCCCACAACCGACACTCCGCCCACTGCAGAGGGCGGCGGCCGCCGGGCGTGGCAGACCCAGTGGTTCCAGAGTGAGAGCCCCTTCACGCAGAAGGCCGACTTTAACCGAGAGCTAAAGGTGATGGCGCTCGTCCCGGGCAGGGTCTTCGGGGGCTGCGGCCAGGTGGGGCCGAGCGGGGGCGGCGAGGACCCTGCAGCTCTGCCTCCTGCCTCCTCACAGTGGCCGTCGCCAGCCGACTACCAGCCACTCAGTCGGCCTGCCTTCCCGGCCTTCAGCTTCGGAGTCCCCAGGTCCACGGCTGGGAGACCTGAGAGCCAGGCCTACCGCTGGCATCTCAGGGACAGGGGACCGGGTCCCCGGGCCCCGACCCTGCTGCAGTCTTCCCTGCGGGCGCGCGGCGAGAAGCGCCCCAGCCCCAACACCTACAATGTCCTGCCTGGGTGCTGCCTGAGGAGCGCCCGCTCGCCTGCCTTCTCTATGAGCCGCGCCCCCGCGTTTGCCTCCTGGGTCAGCTCCTGTAAGGAGGCCTCGGAGAGAAGGGCTGGGCTTGGGCCTGAGGGTGGGGGCCGAGGCTGACCACAGGGTCCAGGCGCCGAGGATGGGAGGTGGGCACTGGGCTAGGGGCTGCAGCCGCCATGAGGTAGGGCTCCCGGCCTTCTCTCTCTGCAGCCCGAACCCCCGGCCCGGCCGCCTACTATGTGGAGGACTGCTATAACTCTCGCTTCCCCTCAGTGCCTGGAGTGGTCATCCAGGGCGTGCGCAGACCCAAGCGACACGACACAGGCCCCTTCTGCTCACTCTAGAGCCCACTGGGCACAGCCTGCTCCATCAGTTATCAAGTGGCTTTCCCAGGCCTGTCTCTGCAACTGGGTAGCCGGGGCTGGCTTTCAGACTCTCTGGGCACCCCTGAACTACCTTTCTAGCCTGCGGATGCTTCTGTGGGCTGTGGACCCAGTGAGTTCAGCCTGGAGCCCCTCCCCACCCATCCCCCTGTTATACAGAGGTGTGTCAGTCCTTCTGACCTCTGGTGTGCCCATCCTTCACCCAGCAGGCAGTCCTGAAGATGCTGCCTGTCATCAGTCCTGCTCATGGCCTGTCATTTCTGGCTTTCCCCATGGGGGATCTCCATTTAGCTGTTCCTGGTGGGTGTGCTCTTCTAGGGTGGGTTGGGGTGACAGCCTGGGGCTGCTCCTGAGCAATCTGGCCTGGAATAGGATAAGAAGGGGGCCCTGTGGACAGTGCAGAACATTCCACCTGGGTGTGCCACCCAGTGAGACTGGTCCAGCTGCCAGTCTACCTGAGAGTCAGACTGCTTGCTGAGCCAAAGTACTGAATGTTGGGTGCAGGTGAGGGCCACACTCCCCAAACTGCCATCTTGAGGTGGCATCTGCCTACCCAGCTTCAGGGAGGGCTCAGAGAGGACCAGTTCATCAGGACCTGGCCCCACTTCCCTTTGGCCTTGAACTGAAGACCCAGTGGGCTTAGTTGCTTGTGGGCTGACATCTCTGGCCCAGGGCTGTACAGGTCGAGCCCCAAGAAATCCACTCTCTTGGCCTTTGCTGCCTAGGCCCCTGGCCTTGCCTGAAGTTTTAGGCCTACAGCAGCAGTGGGACTGCTGGTCCCCCTCACCAGCCAAGGCCTATCCTCCTACCTGGGGGGAGGTCTACCAACATGCCCACCCTCTTCATGGCAGTTTGAGGTGCTGCCTGCCTAAGTAAAGACTGCCACCTCCAGGAGACTCACCTGTAGCTAGTAGCACCTGTGACTTCACCAATTCTTCCAGCTATCCTCCCCCCAGCCCTCGCCCAAGGTTCTGAAGCAGCAGCTCTGTGGTGTCAGCATCACCCTCTGTTGCAGAGGAAGCCAAGGCCTGGGGAGTCTGAGTACCATATACCCAAGTCCTCCTCCACAATTGAACCAGCTGGGTGTTCAATCAGTGCAGTAGGACCTTCCGGCAGGGCCCTGGGTTGACCAGCTTGGCCAGCATCAACAGCAAGAGAGCTGTGGTAGTCTAGATGTTGGGAACAGGAGCCCTGCTCATGCCCTGCCCACTAGGCACCCCTGGGATCCAAACCTGGGAGTAGAAGCAGCAGGGAGGAATAGCAAGCTTCTCTAGCTGGGCTGAGAAGGGAGGGCTTCCTGGAGGAGGCAGTGGAGGAAGGGCCTTTTTTTTTTTTTTGGCCGGGGCTGGGTTTGAACATGCCACCTCCAGCATATGGGGTCGGTGCCCTACTCCTTTGAGCCGCCCGGAGGAAGGGTCTTTCAAGGATTAGCAAGAGTTTTCTGGATAAGCAGTTTTTAGCAGAGGAAACCTCAGCAGCAAAGGCACAAGAAAAGGGAGAGGGAATGGTGGTGTTTGGTGTAGCAGAGACCGGAGGGCACAGGGCTGGTGGGACAGCTATAAAGGCTAAATGTCAGATCTAGGAACTTGCACACTAGGCACTGGGAGTCTGCTTGCCCAGAGCCAGCTGCTTGCATTTTAAGGGATAAGGTACTCTCATTACAACTCAGTAGGACTCAGCCCGAGAGTCCACTATTGTGGTTGGCCCAGTTGGCAGGTCCTCAAAAGCACTGAGGATGGCTGCCCAGGCATCTGCCAGGCACTCCTGGCCCCACTGGAACCACACTTGGATTCTAGTCTTTGCAACAAGCCCCTGGTGTGAGCTTCATCTCAGAGAGTGTGCAGGTTGTGTACCTGGCAGGACCTGAATGCATGGAGCTTCTAGGGTGGCAGTGATCCATTTTCTGATGCAAAAATATTAACAAGAGGCTGCTGTGAGATTAGCAATACTGTTTCTCATGATCATAAAAATAAAATTTAGTTGCCTAAAAGGTCAGTTCTTTTTTTTTTTTTTTTTTTTTGTAGAGACAGTCTCACTTTATTGCCCTCAGTAGAATGCCATGGCATCACAGAGCTCACAGCAACCTCCAACTCCTGGGCTTGGGCGATTCTCTTGCCTCAGCTTCCAGAGTAGCTGGGACTACAGGCACCTGCACATCACCCGGCTATTTTTTTGTTGCAGTTTGGCTGAGACTGGGTTCAAACTCAACACCTTCAGTATATGGGGCCGGCACCTTACCGGCTGAGCCACCTTGAGACAGAGTCTCACTATGTCGTACAGCTCACAGCAACCTCAAATTCTTGGGCTTGTGATTCTCTCACCTCAGCCTCCCAAATAGCTGGGACTACAGGTGCCCGCCACAACGCTTGGCTATTTTTTGTTGCAGTTGTCATTGTTTAGCTGGCCTGGGCTGGGTTCGAACCCGCACACCCTCGTTGTATGTGGCCGGTGCCCGTAACCACTGTGCTACCGGCGCTGAGTCAAAAGGTCAGTTCTTAAATCTGTTTTGAGATAAGAGTCTCACTTTGTTGCCCTGGGTAGAGTGCCATGGCATCATAGTTTCACTTTGTTGCCCTGGGTAGAGTGCCATGGCATCATAGTTTCACTTTGTTGCCCTGGGTAGAGTGCCATGGCATCATAGTTCACAACAACCTCAAACTCTTGGGCTTGAGCAATCCTCCTGCCTCAGCCTCCGTAGTAGCTGGGACTACAGGTGCCTGTCACAAGGCTCAGCTATTTTTGCAGATGGGGTTTCGCTCTTGTTTAGGCTGGTCTCAAACTCAGCTCAAACAGTCTGTCCCCTTCAGCCTCCTAGAGTGATGGGATTACAGGCGTTAGCCATTGCGCAGGCCCAATTCTTAAATTTATAAGGCAAGCCGCTCCGACCCGCGGGCACTGACCTCTTGGCCCTCGCTTTCCTCCGGCCCCTCCCCACCGCCCGCCCGAGACAGGACTCGGTTCCGGCATGAGGGAGAAGACCTCCACGAGCAGCAGTAGCCGGGAGACCCGGCGGAAAACGGAGGTGTATAGAGGTGGGGCCTGGAGGACCAAAGACAGCGTGGGGCGGGGCCAGAGGCCTCCAGTCACTGAGCACCACCACCCCTCTCACCCACCCCTCGCTCAGCCTCTCCCGGGCTAGGGCGCAGCTGCTAGGAACCCCTGCGAGGCCTCTGCTGTGTTTCCTCCCGGCGGTTTGGCAGGCGGACCGGAGCTGTGCGGGGCGGAAGTGGGCGGCTGTGGGGCTTGTTCCGAGGCGCTGCGGACAGGACCTGGCCGAGCTGGAGGGCGCGGGGGAGCGGGGCTCGGGCGGCCCCCGAGGCTCGGGGGAGCGAGCTTCTGGGGCTTCTGCGGCGTCCAGCGCGACACCGGCGGAGCGGGGCGGAGATGGGGCGCCGAGCCGGGTGGCGGCCGGCGCCTCGGCCCTGTTCGCTGGGCTGCAGGACCTGGGCGTGGCCAACGGCGAGGATCTGAAGGAGACGCTGACCAACTGCACTGAGCCGCTCAAGGCCATCGAGCAGTTCCAGGTGAGGCGCTGCTGCGGGCTCCCGGCCCAGGGCGCTGCTCGCGGAGGCGGGAGTCGGGCCAGGGGTTGGCGGGCTTGGAAGTTGGGAATTGCCTGGCGTTCTCTGGCACGAACATTGCGGTGCTATTTGAGCTAGCACCGCATTAACAGAGGCCAGGCTAGTTTCCAGTTATTGCGGTTACCGCCAGCCCTGCTGAGAACGTCCGTGGACGTGTTTCTTCATGCAGTCAGGGCGTTCGGGGTGCATGGATGGTCTTGGCAGCGGCTGAGGCTTCTGTTGTACATTCCAACAGCCAGATCTATCTGCCCTCACCCTTTGCCTCCTCAGACAGAGAATGGCGTGCTGCTGCCCTCTCTGCAGTCGGCCCTTCCCTTCTTGGACCTGCACGGAACACCGCGGCTGGAGTTCCACCAGTCGGTGTTTGATGAGCTCCGGGACAAACTTTTGGAACGAGTATCAGCTATTGCTTCGGAGGGGAAGGCTGAGGAAAGGTAGGTCTCCACTTGCCGAGGGTGCAGCCTGCTTCTCAGCTCCAGAATTGATTCAGCAGCATTTATTACCCCTTGGTACAAGGTACAAGAAGCTGGAAGACCTTCTGGAGAAGAGCTTTTCTCTGGTCAAGATGCCGTCCTTGCAGCCAGTGGTGATGTGTGTCATGAAGCACCTGCCCAAGGTAAAAACTGAGGGCTGGCCTCCTGCATACCCTTGGTTGGTAGAGGTAGCAGTGCGTGGTCCAGACAGCAGCTGCTTAGCTCCATGGAGGTTTTTTTGTTTTTTTGGAGACCGAGTCTCACTTTGTCACCCTTGGTGAAGTGCCGTGGAGTCATAGCTCACAGCAACCTTCAAAGTCTAGGCTTAGGCTCAGGCTCGGCGCCTATAGCTCAGCTGGCTAAGGTGCCAGCCACATACACCTAAGGTGGCGGGTTCGAATCCCCAGCCCGGACCCGCCAAACAACCACGGCTGCAACCAAAAAATAGCCGGGTGTTGTGGCGGGCACCTGTGGTCCCAGCTAGTTGGGAGGCGGAGGCAGGAGACTCGCTTGAGCCCAGGAGTTGGAGGTTGCTGTGAGCTGTAATGCCACGGCACTCTACCCAGGGGGACAGCTTGAGGCTCTGTCTAAAAAAAAAAAAACAACAAAGTCTAGGCTTAAGCGATTCTCTTGCCTCAGCCTTCCAAGTAGCTGGGACTACAGGTGCCCACCACAACGCCTGGCAGTTTTTTTTAGAGGCAGGTCTTGCTCTGGCTCAGGCTGGTCTTGAACCTGTGAGCTCAGGCAATCCACCCACCTCAGGCCTCTCAAGTGCTGGGATTACAGGTGTGAGCCACCTTGCCTGGCCTACTGTACCTTTTCTATGTTTACAGACACAAATTGCATTGTATCACACTTGCCTGCAGTATTCAATATTGTAGCCCAGGAGCTGCAGGCTATGCTGGGA